GGTGTAAGAAATTAAAAATTGACCCACTTTGGCTAAGACGCCTTAAGCTTAACCTTAGCCTATTTTTCCGCCTTTTGCATGGCATTACTCACGCCTGTTGCGCTCCTACTTTTAAGCCTATATCTTCATATAGTCTACGCAATCGTGAATGTACTGTACCTGTAGAAAAGCACCGCCTTAAACTTAGGTCACGATCCTTTATGTTACAGTACAGCAAGTTATGGAATAAGCTTCCACATTTTATTCGCTCTTGCATGTCTGCATTTCAGTTTCGACGTCTACTCAACGAATTCTTCCTTTTCACGGATATCCATAAATTTCTTGACATTCATATTATATCCACAAATACGAAGCATAATGGAGCAATCGGCACATAACAATGGTCAAGCCATTGCGTCCGCTATGAACGTACTCAGATCTCTAAATGTAAGAATCGGTTTTATTAAAGCCCTGAAGTTCGTTTAATGCAGATGGCCTCACGATTGCATACAAGGGTATGAATACCGGCTCCTCTCCGTATAATGAACTTAAAGAATACTGTTTATTACTGAAAGCCACTACGGTACACCCCCCCCAAAAAAAGACTTAAAAACCCTATAATGGAAGGACTATGTAGTTGACTTAACATATATACATGAAAATGTACATCAAGTCCGAATAAATAAAAAAAGGATAGGGACCTTTCTCTTCTCCAAATTTGATAGCGTAGTAATCTGTATTTCCATATCTGCTCGTGCCTCTCCTTTCTTTCCCCATTTGCAGAAACAGCTGCAAGTCGACATTTGATGTTCAAATTCAGTCTGAACGTGATTACTTTATGGGAATAACACCTGCTCATTGACGCCAATAATTATTGGACTGCTCCCACTCTTTCGCAAATTCTGGACCATCTTCAAGATTAACTCACCTACTCGTCATGATTTTTTTTGCGACGAACCGTCTGACCATTCCCAACAGTATTAGTAGCAGAGGCATTCTGAACAGATGATTAAACCAGAGACCAATTAAAATATTGGCTCAGGACGTCACTTACCTGCAATGGCTCCACACTAGACATTTTCTAGTACTCTGTACCAAGAGACCTTTTCATATGGAACTTACTACGCATCAAATACACTTCTCGAATGATGCCGCCTATGCTAATACAAAAGATGCTCGAAGTCTATGGACTATTGACTGTTTCAACACCTATTTTCATCCAATACAACGAGTATTCCCAGCAGAATTAATCTATATCACCTTTAAAAGTAACATGGTGTCCTGGATATGCATTGATATAGCCATACACGTTGGTTATATAACTGTGGATACTTTATTGATACTCCAGATTGTATAAATGGGTCCTTTGTGGTTAGCAAATTAAAAACTGAAGACCATTCTAAGTAATAAACTGTTATATTACTAATCAGCAAACTATGCGAATGGACTAACAACGTCGGTTGGTCACAACGCAAACTTTGAACACTGCGCGCTTTTGATATTGTTAATGGAACTTATCTGTGTGATGGGAGATGGCAGTCCATATCCGTCTCATGAATTTCAGCAAATTTCAATAAGATTATGCACACTAATGACTTGATATATAAATTATTTAATACTAGATACTTTCAAAAGTTATGAATTTGACGGTGCTTGTTAACTGGTATCCCCCATGTTAAGCCCGTTAAATGAAGGCGACATTTACTATTATCTAAACTTTAACACCCTATGTACGCTGTTAAGTAATGTTTCCTCGTTCATTTCATAACTAGCAGGACCTCCGGCAGTTTTTTAATTGAGTTTAATGACATTCCATCAGTGCCACTCACGGCTCAAGTCTTGTAGATATTCTGAGATGTATCAACGTGATGAAGCCTGTAAACTGGCTTCTCTCACGTTAAAATCCTTTTTTTAACGCGAGAATAAAACACTTATTTATTTATTTATTTACCAATAGAAACGAGAGGTTAGATATGATTATACAAGCAAGTCGAATGAAGTCAAATGAAACGAGTGGTCACATTCGTGAATGCATTGCAAGGACAAAATTGAAACACGCAACAACCGAAATTCTAATCGACTGTTTGTGACGCGTAGTTATTAAGCACATGCGCAACTTACGCTCAGTGGTGTTTTCAACTTTAAAATGGCTTGGTGTAGATCACTTGGTAGTCACGGATAAAGAAGTATGCGAAAATAAATCCGGAGGGCGTGGCTGGGTGTGGGTAAACAGTGATCAAAAACGAACTTTTTTTCTGTTGTAACAGTTGCGTACACATTACTTTCGTTTAGATCGAGTGTGGTAATCTTCTTTCACACAACTGCTTTAAGCTGTCATGTGATGCCATACCTCGCAGATTCTGTCAGCGCATCCCTGCCAGTCCACCGTACTGCACGAACTGAAAGACAACTCATGAGAATCAAAATTCACCGTTTTTGAGTATTCTTGTGATGCCCCTGGAGATAGAGAGTCATAGGAGGGGAGAAAAGGTGAGACATATGAGGAGCGAAGTCGTTATTAGGGATATGAAACGCGATAATGAGATCACCTGGTTTCCTACAGTGAGACAGCGAGAATAGCTTTACATGATCAAGTCGATATTAGTCGCAAGGAAACGAAAGGCCGGCCAAAAAGGTAGTATATATATGCTGAACATGGCCAAGCATGTCAGCATCCCTTTTTAGGCATGAGCAGGCCACCCGAATACAAATTCCAAGTGAGGTCTAACATAGGTAGAAAACAGTACTCCGAACATGTCCTGATCAAAACTTTCCGAATCTCCGTAGATGGAACACAATACATGAAAGCCTTATGCTGCAGTCGCATTACAACTCGCCAAGGTTTACTTGTTTATTAAATCACGACTAATAATGACGCTTAAGTCTTTCAGCTGAGGAAACTTGGGCAGCGGTGTACCATCAACGGAGCACGGGAAAAAATTATTGCACCTTGGTTAGAGTTGATTTCCACACACCAACGATTGGACCAACCTACTGGTCCAAATAAATCCGCTTGAGGAACATACCTATCCGCATCACTGCATATGGCTCCTCAAATCTATACACTATAATGATAATTATTATTCCTGAGTATACAGGCACACCATTTTTACAGGTATGAATAAGCTGATGTACAAATTACTTTCATCTTCGTGGAAGGTAATCTCAATCATCACCTATTGTCACCAGAAGATATAAGTGCTGCATGTCCATATAATGGAACATCTTAGCAGAATAAGTGTGCAGAAAATTTGCAAGTTGGACCAGTGGAAGTACTGTCTTTGCATTAACAAAAAAACCAGGTTTGTATCTAGACATTACAGGTATTACCTGGCGAAAAATGAAGCTTGAAGTGATACTTCCATTACAACAGTTTGTACTTTTTGCTTGAGATGATGATGAAAAGTTTATGAGTTGTTTACACATTGTACTTCATTGACGATTCCAGGATTGTATAATTCATCCATGTTGACACCATTCCACAGCAAAGATTCATAATTTTTCCAACTCCAGCATTGTAGAGGGGTGTTTTACAATCCCGTAACGTTTGACCAACGCTACTAAACTTCATGCACACTAGAACCCGCTTAACCAGTAACTTACCAAATGTGTAAGTTCTGATAAACAAACGCAAAACAAAAGAATGGAATTCAGGAATATATTCCAAGGAGTAATATGCCTAATCATGCAAGTCCTGTGCTTAGTTGTCTAACACGTCTGAGACATCTTCAATTGTCTATTCCTCAAGCTTACGATCACTAAGTTGGACATAGATTCACGTGATTGAATATGCCTTGTACATTAAATACGCTGTCCCCGGTATCGATGAACGGGTATTCGCACACTGCCTGAATGTGTACAGGCGATCTAGTTTGACTCGTAGGGAGATAGTTGGACACCAACTGGAGATCACCGGTCTTAAAAACTGGTCTGGTTATAGATTCTTTCTAGTCTCTAGGGAGGCGAGTTTGAGTTAGGAACATGTTGAAAAGACGCGTGACTGGCTCAACAATAATTTTCGATAGCTGAGATAGCAGTCTGGGATGCAACTCATCGGAACCGAGAATTTTCCAGTTTAACATAAATGAGCAGCTGTAAGACTCTTTCCTTCGTTGTGAACACTGTATCTATCACTGCAGCAGTGCTGGTACAACTATTAGGCACTCCACCGTCGTGACCTGCAGAGTAGACTTCCTAAAGTAATCCGATAAACACTCAACTTTGGACAGATGAGATTCCGTCAGACTGTTGTACTTTTCATCCGTCGCCAGAGAGGGAATTACACCTTTTCTTTTAGTCCCCCTTCTGATGAGTGCGGACAGTCTTTAGGGACAATTATAGCAATCCCTCACAAGCTGTCTCTCATTGAATATTTGAGACCGTGTAATCAAAACTTTGCAGAGACTACGAACTTTATAGCACACGGTCTTAAACGTTTCCAGTCCAGTTTCTATAAACAAGTCCTATAGGCGTTTCCTCCACCTCGATAGTTTCTCATTGTCCTTATTAAACCACAGAGGGCGATGTAAGGGTCTTCATGGAGTTGAACATGGAAGAAGTGACGTCTTAACCCCCTTCAAAAGTGTCTTAACTTATTCCATGCGTTCTGAATTGATGAGCCCTTGTCGACGGTCCAATCCTTACTGATCACGCAATCCCTCATACTCAAAATGTCCGCACCCCATACGTTTTCTCCCATATTTTCTCCCCAGTAACATTTTCATTCTCCCTTTCTTTGTTTAAGACCAGTCCTCATAACGATCTAGTGATCTGAAAATTGAGGAACCCATTACATCCAGCACTCAATCACTCATCGGGTTTACCACGGTTACGACAGATGATTGGGTGGTTCGACAGCATCGAAGTCCATAAGTAACCTGAAATAGTTTAACAAAAACTGTAAACCAGCATGTAAGAACCCGTTTGTTTATACGCTATCATGAAACAACGAGTTGATATTGGATTTTGTCTTCAACAGTTGCTATATGCGCTACACTTAGTGTACGCGGCTGTTGCGAAAAATGACAGTTGTTAATGTGGTGATTTTGTTATGTTTGTTCGAAATTTGTGAGTTTTAATGACAGTCAAACCCGAAGTTTTCATATAATAGTATTCGTGAAGTGTGAATTGATGTGGAATTTCCCCCAAATTCGAACGAAGTTTTTCACGCTTACGTGAATGAAAAAGCACATACTATTCAAGTATTTCCATCCATCCAAGTTAACCTCACCCATTGTAAGTAACTGAAGATACTTCACTAATATTAAACGCATGTTGTTTTTTAATTAATACACAGGTATTACGGAACGGAAGACAAAGTATAAATAAAAATACTTTGTTAACTCACGACGCGATACTCTCGTTTCTGCAGTCTGTTCGAAACCGTGAAACTGGTTCATAGTCAGTCTACTTCGGCTCGGATTTCCGGAGTCTTTCGCGTTTTTTCGGTATTTTTGAAGTGACTTGGTATATTACTCAGAATCAACCATCAACATGTTAACGTTTTCATCGGACCGAATAGGATATCGTTTTATTGCCCACCAGCGGTAACGTCACATCAGATGTATGCTTTGATGCAGGGCTTTTCAGCACCCGAAACATTTCCCACCCTGCGTTTTCAGCCCGTGTATCTCACCACATGTCTAACATAGCTGGCCTTACATCTGGTCCCCAGCTTTTACAACTGGCCCAGCGTGCGGCTGAATGTTTTCTTACAGTGAATGGGGCGACGTCGCTTTGTCTGACCCAACGAAAAGTAAAGTTACACGAAAAGAACCCAGTTTGGAAATTGTCCTTGTGTGATGTTGACCCAATCCATTATACAATATTGATAGTGCGAGCGTAGAAAACTGGTAGTTTTTGATCTCTCGCTTCTAGTTCTTAGGGCTTGATTCGAGTTGTTCGGTTCACTCATGCAGTGAACGAGGAAATCCCCTCTGCTTTCTTGCTTTTAGCTTCGGTGAGGTGGATATTTTGTGGGTTAGTAAGTTGTAATTTGTAGAGTAATTGGGCAGCTACGGGTTGCTGGGATGTTTAGGAAACGGCTGTCACTCCTGTCTGTGTAGGTACCTGAAAGAGAATAGTAAGTTAGTGGTAAAAGAATGAAGCGAGAATAAAAAAAGAGAAGAAAGAAGAAAAATAATGATAAGGGAATGAAAAAGGGAAGGAGAAGAAAGGGAGGGGTGAAAAAGAGAATAAAAACGAAAGAAAAGTATTTGGGAATTGCGCGAATGGTTGCAAGGGTTTGGTTCCTATGGAAGAATTAGTAGGTAATGTGGGTGTGTTAAGGAGGGAAATAGTGAGTGGTACCCATGACCTTGACAAGCGTTTTCTGGATGCAGAGGTCAACCGACAATTCTTGGGGAATGCACAAGAGTATGAGACCAAGAGCAAACACTTGTGTGGCAGAGTTGGAATATTATATTTGACGAGCAGCCCCAAAATACGGAGACTAATGAACCACTCGATTAAAGGATCACTTACGAGTGAAACTGCCTAACAAAACAACATGCTAAACTGCGTGGATGCTTGACTGTGTGTCTTCAGCCTAACCATTCAGGATTATGTGGAATCTCGTAGAACCATAGACTATGGTTTCTGGGATTATTTACTGCCTCACTAGCCTCAAGACTTAGACATAAGAGTTCTGAGACTCATTTTGCTACACTTTCTTGCAGTTGTTTTCCATTTGTTTTCAGGATTAAAACTAGTTCAGCGGAGATGTGTTATAATTATAGTGGCTTGCAATATAAAAAAATTTCGATTTGACTTTGAAGAAATCGATGGAAAGTACTGAAACTGTATGCTCTGGTAGAGTAATAAATGACAGATACCGACTGCTTGATAAAGATTCGACTTTCGTTTTCGAACTTTATGGTGGGAACAAATAAGTAAATTAGCATCTGCATCTACAGAAACCAAGCACAAGATCTCTCACTCGCCAATCATGTGATCAGACTGCCTCAGGTAGTTAAGTCATTGACCTTGTTACTTACTGTTGCTTAACACGTAACCAATGTTTTAGAAATCAGTGTGCACCAGCACAAATCTAATCACTTGCTTACTTACGTGTAGATACTGATAGTGGAGTACAAATAAGAGAAGGTATCGAGTGGTAAAGGCACTCAGAAGGGAAGTTTATTTATCAGTCAGAGATGGGAAGGTTATTGTAAGAGAGATGGTTGAAACTTATCTGTCTATGCATGACTGAACTGTGGACTGTGAGTATGCAGCTGTTGACCAGCATAAAGAAGACACAAAGTGGTGAATGCCAACAGGTGGATACCTATATGTCAAGACGAAACTTATGAGACTATAAGAGATTATTTATTTAGCATTGAGTCATTTTAAATATTGATTTATTTATTTGTGTTGAATATAGCAGTATTTGTTGCTGAGACGGTGTAATACAACCATTGAGCGTTCAACATTAATGTTAGAGAAGTCACTTGGTGTGAGTTTTCTTAGGTTTATTCTGAGGAAACTTAATCGGTACATCGCCAATTACCTATACTACTAAGAGGTGGTTTTGTGAGTAATGAAAGATGCAGTGTTGAAAGATGAAGTAGTCAAACAGAACTGAATCTAAGTTGGATAACGAAGTAAAGATGGGTCATCACTAGATGAACTTTAAGAAATGCTGATCATCAGGAGAGCGTTGAATAATGTCATATGGGAACAAAAAGTCGATTTGCTGCAACGAACAACGAAAACAAGTTTACTACAAGAGATGTTTTTCAGAGGATTTCACTTTTCGAATGAGCTTAGGTATCAAGAATATCCAAACAGCTGCTGGAGTATTTCCAAAGTAGTTTACAATCACTGGATGTGTTGAAATGTTTCCACTGTACCTGGAACACTCTAATCTAATACTTGTTAGGCTTTTTCGCTTCGATACCTAGAAGATCTTGAATGAAAGATACGTTGCTTCTGGACATTGGATGACTTTGGAAACAATGTTTTAAGAGGTTCGATGTAGCAAATAGAAGTACTATCAGGTGGATCGAAACTTTAACCACTTCCCTGCTTATCCATTAATTTCATAAGTTTTTCCGTGGCTACAACGTGTTCTTTCTTATTATATGCGAAACTTGGGAAATAATTCTCCAAAGCAATCGCTCATTTCACTTGTTTATCTAGTATCATTCATTCTCTTGTGCTGTTACAGCATAAACTAATAAACATTGATGAGAGTTACATAGCCTTATTTGCCCGACTTTTTATTTGGATATGTTACGAAGTTTTCAAAAGGCCTTGATTAGTCCTAAAAATGTCTACAATTGGTGTTCTACAAGATTAGATAGGTCACTATAATGTGACTGGTGGTGATTCACTCTATGACTTTGTTTGATCTCATAATCACGAATTTACTGTTAGTTGAGACATGCTTTGGTGTTTAAAATAAATGAACAGTAGTATAGGTGAGACTGCTTATGAATAGAAGACGCTTATTGATGTGAGACGTTAGGTCGTCGAGTGATTTTTTATGACAATGCATTCATTATATTGCCATGATATGCTTTTATTAAGATAGAGTACCTGCATGTAAACATATTTTTGTTTGTTGTTATTTTCGACTTTATAAGTTCTGAGGTCTATTTCCCTTTACATACGTCCATTAAATCTGTGATTACTAAATTTTGAGGGGGTTGTGGAGATTTGGAAATCTTTCAAGTTGTTATTCATCGATGTCAGTCTTCGATGAATAACAACTTGTGGTTACTAAATTGTTTGAAAAAGCATTTGAATTTGAGCGTATGCTAACTTTATTCAAAGATCTCTCGAAACCTTCTGTAGGCGACGACTTTTAGAAAGCCGTACACTGTACGAAATCAGTCAAACGAAATGAACTGCAATGACTGGATCCAACATTATAATGGTTGTTAGTGGAAATTTATTGAAGGTAGTTTGCTAGACGGAAATATATCGACTGTGTAGAACACTCACAACTTTGAAGCAATTGTATTGCTTATTCCTCTGACTTTCTGACTGCATACAATATCTAATCGGGTTATTATGATGAACTTGCTACGACTGGACTACTGTGGTGCAGTTGACGGATGGATATACACCTTCCTCAGTTTTCCATATGTTACAACTATTATCTTTAGATTCATTATTTGAAGACAAATCAATAAATCGAAAGTTATTCTCATATTTTACTGTGTACATAATGTAAAGATGTATGTCCCATTATTTTAGTGTGAAACTCTTACTTTTAGATTGAATTCAACCTAGAAGGTAGCACACGTTCAGAAATGATGCTAGAGGGCGATTGATATATACCACAGGTTGACTAAAGTTCAGCGATTTGCACTGTGCCATCTAAATCTAAATACAAATCAGTGATTTTATTTGCACCATGAAGTATGTATAGGTTGCCTCCTATGTCTAGTCCACAGTGTTTTTCTGGCTTATTGAATTGGACGAAACAAGTCACGACTGAAGTGTAATTTTTTATTTAGCGGTCATATATACGATGCCAATTTGCTATAGGTGTGTTTTCTTTAAACCCTAATGGCCGCTCACAGCCACTTAATTCAAATAAGTGTTTCAAGTAGCTACCGTTGCTGAACTCAATCTACAGATGTAATGATATTCATCCTTATTTGAGGGTATCTTTCAAAAATACTGGTTACATAGATGGAAATAAGAAGAATGTTACCTTGCACTTATAGTTAACCACCATGTGACGCTAATGAACAAAATGAAACTCATGAAGTTTGAGTGGTAATAGTAAGTGTCATGCAAGTGGTTATTGAGCTACTCAGACTGAATCCAGTGGTCCTCAATTTACTGACTCCATTAACTCACACTGTAACACAACAAACAGCCAATAAGTCAATAGTTTGGATGAGAAGTTGACCTGTTTAGTGAGTCTTCTGGCGTTGAATTTGTCTACGTTCCAATGAGAAGTGGTGACTATTGAAGTTGAGGAAGTAGGATTTGACAACGGATGGTCACCGTTTACATTGAATGTGGTTGTACTATATACCAAGCTGATGAAGGTGGGTAGTGCAGACTGTTGTACTTCAGTGCAGTTGTTGAATGTCAAAACGCTTGCTATATAGCCTGATTTACCAGTGATCGATCTCACATTACATCATGTGCAATCTTCATGAATTTAAAACTAGGAGGAAACAGCTATCGAGAACTTGATAGCCTTATAATTATTGAATACGATTTGACGTTTGTTATCTAGACGTGAGTATTTCATCATCGAACTAGGTGACTTTGACGGAAGTATTCATACATAATTACAGCATTTTGTGAAATAATAATTCTTGAGACCGTCTATTTAAAGATGAAGCATTGAAGTTCACAGAACATTACACATTTACCACTTCATTCTGACTCGTGTTTTCCCCAAAGAGAATTCAACAACTCACTTTGAAGGTGTACCAGTACAATTTTGCAGAGTCCTTAACAGCAACTTTCTTTGTGTAAGTGAAACATATCAATGTTTTCTTTGTGAATGATGAGTGAACTATATAAGAGTTTCTTGTTTTTTCTATTCACAAATTTAGATTCAAAACTGTGTTCAATCAGTTTACTTCCATCTGAACAAAATAATGTTCCTTATTTCATCAGTGGTAGTGTTTTAGATCAAGAGAAAGGATATGGCTATCTCACATTTAATGAATCATTGTATCATGAAGCTGAGGCTTCTGGCAACTTAGAAGCCAGAATAGGATTTTATCACCTAAAAATATTAGGTGAAGATTGTTCTCATCCTCCCAAATACACAATTTCATGGCCAATCACATTTGAAGTGAGTTATTTTACAGACTGACTTCAGTAGTTATCGTACCATTATACTTTGGATAATCAGAGGTAAATTATTCTGAAAATTCTTTCCATGTACACTAAAAGGATGTTGGACACATATGTTAATGTAATACTGTTGTAATAATTTCGTGTTGAAATGATTCACTGGTTCAGGTAACTACTGACGTATTGAGAATACACTGCAGGACATCTTTATTGCTGTTATATGCTTTGTTTCAAATGACGTCAATCCATAAATCTGAGACTTCATCTTTCCTGAGATTATTTTGAAACATTAGCTACAACCTTAAGGAAATTTTCGCTGATTAGCAGACTGAAGTCAGTAACATTAACACTGAGTTGTTTGGATTGCACATTACTCTGTTACACAATGGATGACAAAGTTCAATTGCTTAGTAACTAATAGCCACTCGAGTACTATACTATTGACTATTGAATGAAGTTCTGTGTTGGTTTCAATTACTAACGGATATTCAACAGGGTTAGTTGTAGAAGAATAAGGCAGTCTCCATTGTTAAACGCCGTAATCTTTGTTTCAGTTGTCATGTATCGTGGGAAAAACCGAATCCGTCAAACCTGTTTGATTCTTCTGAAGTTAATCAGCAGAAAAAACTGATGTCTTAGCCGATATAAACGAAATTAGTGAAACCAAGACTCAGAGTAGATCGACTGGAAGGCGTTAACACTGTGAACTAGACTAGTGAGTTGTGATTACCAAAACGAGCTTTCCATCTGGTACATTTCGAAATATATACAGTAACCTTGATCGAAACTGCAGACACCGATGGCTACTGGGAAGGCAACTAACTTGTATTACCTTCAAAATGTGACACATTATTTTTAATGTTCTGTTTCCATCAGTTGTTTTGCGTTTGTGTATGGAAAGACTTTCATTCGCGACCAAAATGCTCTTGCAGGTGATGTAATAAACTCCCGTGTTATTGCTTCACTGAATATCGGAAGCGTTAGACATAAAGACTTTTGAAAATAATCAGAAAATTAAATGATATCATATGGCTGCATATGTGAATTTTGTTGTTTCAAATGTCTTATGATTTCTCTGAAAAATTCATACATACGTTTTTAATGAATACGACAAAATTCGAATTTTCTGCATCCGAAGATCTCCCTTACTACTCATTTGTATAAAGGTATTATGAAAGCATTTACATCGTACTCTTGCCTTATCCACTTAACTGAGCAACTGAGATACGCTCTCTGACTGACAGAATTCTCTCAGCAACAGAAATGTTTCAGTTCAATGTGCCTACTATTCGTCAAGAATTTTATTGTAGAGTCAAAAGACATACTACTGAACAGCATGAGTAGTTACAAACTAATTATGCTGATTCTTAGATATGTTTGGAAAATTACTCATAAGTCTCATTGTTGGTTTTGACGTTACTCGAAGCTAAGTAATATATCAACTACTCAACTGTGGCTTCGTTGGAATTCATCCAGTCAGTTGGTTTATGGCACCTTAGTGTTGAAGATCCCGCTCTATAATCTTGGCTGGTTGGTTACTGATGGGAACCTGGATTGACATTGTAATTAGACTGGAGAGAAATTACTCACTTATGAGAAATGTCAACGTGAACCATTCAATTTGTAAATAAATTATGGATCAATATTTCTATTTGAGTGTCAAAGACACTTCTTATTCCGCTATCAGTAGTGATCATTGGAAGAAGAGGATAAGTATATAACCCTTTTATTTGAACCGTCCAAATTTGCATCTCCTTCAAACTCTCATCTTTTGAATATCACTTGCATTATTATGCATAGCACATTCGATCCGATTTACCAATCTGGTCTAGAAGGAGATATGAATTCAACATAGACTCACTGCATCCACCCGGTTATGAAATTGGTAAAGTGACTGCTTATTCATCAACAATCAATGTAACTGATGGTAATCCACCTATTGGTGATGATACAGGAATGTGCGTTTATACAATTCAAGATGCCAGTCATTCATTTGCAATCAATGGACATGGTAAGGTGTACAAAGTACTGGTTCAAGTTATTTGACAATATGTTTTGCTTTTGTAAAAATTATTATTTACTGTGTTGTTGTTGTGAATAGTGTGCTGGAGAAGGAAACAGTAAGTGTTGCAGTTGTTATAATATCAGGTATAGTATATGCAATAGTTAACGAAACTTAAGGCTGACGGAGAAGTTGTTGTAGAGACTATCGATGAAGACAGGAAGTTGGTGAATATTCTGTGGTCTAAAACAAGACTGTGTTAATCAAAGTTATCACCACTTGCATTGAAAATTCTATTTATCATTTAAGAAGGAGAAAAGTGAAACAGTTGGAAATAATAATGTCAGTAGTTTGAAAAAGCCACAAAATGAAAAGTGAAGGGGCTGAATAGAATATGAGTGCCTAGTGTTGCGATTTGGATGAGCGTAAGGTTTGGTTGGGATAGGTTCTTTGCTATTTCACATAGAGTCTTCAATGTTCAGCTTATCTTGAGCAACCAAGTGAGCAGTCGAAATTTGGCTTAACGGCTGAGACTAATAGTCAAAGGCTTCATAAACTGGTAAACTCTGTTCAAACCTTATCCCACAATGCCTACTCCTTCCTACCTGACGCGTGTTGTCATCATCTTAATTAATCAGATTTCACGACTTTGTCAAATGACTGGCCTCGCTTATCTGATACTTTAAGCAAAGTTTTTGAACTACTTATTCAATGGTTTCACTACTATCGAGTGATATGTGGTATGGGTAAAAATGGAGATTCTTTCAAGATCAATCTCATGTTTATGGAGTTAAAAGTCGACAGGTGTATTTAGCACCCTCAAAAATACAAATTGCTGGAACTCCTCTAAGGTTGACTCTACAAACAATAGGATACAACAAATGAAAAGAAATAGAATTTCCATAGGATATTTTTTAAGAGATGCTCAAGAAAATATGCGATGAGGTATTGACTTGTTAATTTGTTCAGATTATTTGTACAAACGAAATGAATTTCACTTAGTTTCTGAAATCCTTTTTATTATTTTGTTTATCTAGCAGGCTAGTTTAGTCTGGGTTGTTGTAGATAAGTTTTATGTTTGACGGGGGATTTTACGCTTGTCGGCACACATCGGTAAGTTTTCAATGGAATCTGAAGCCAACTAGTGATTAGTTAGTGATTGAAATCTGTATCACTGAATGGTATGGAGCTGATGAACTTGTCACCGATCTCATTGGTTTGGGGAGATGACTTTCAACCAGTAGGTAACGGCTCTGATTGTTTTAAAGAACAGCTCTACTAGGGTGTCAAGTTTGACAGGAAAAAAGCTGGCCACTCGAGTTCAACCATTGCTTAGGAGGTTCAGACCCCGTACCCAGATAATACTACCACTTGTATACCTTCAGTTGGAACTAGTTTCAAATTATGCCGTCAGGTAATATCAGCAATGGAATATGTCACTTAAACCTACTGCATTCTACACACATATTTACTACATAGCAGCTTTCTGTCTGCAATCCTTTTTGCTTAATACTTGCTGAAGCATCTACCGCTTCTGTGTATTCTGCATTTAAATCACCTTCTATCGTCCTGGCATTCACCTGTCGGTTCAAACAGATGTGAAGTGAAATCCGACCTTGTACCGTAATGAATTGTTTTATTGATTTCCTGATTATGGACCCTGATGTTTAATTCAACATGATTGAATACACATAAAATCAGGTGTAAGGAAATGAGATTTCAAGAAGGTTAATGCGTTCACTAATTTCCAGTCATTGTATTCCTTTCCTGTGAAACATTCGATATTCTTATTCATGCAATTAAGGATTCACCACATGCATATTCCTATTGAATAGTTTTATTTATGATGTAAAATTCAATTTTAGTCTTGTAGGTATTTCCTATTTGTTCTACTGTGATAATGCATAATATTTCACAGTTTATCCAGAATGTGAGACAAATTTGCGGGTCAAAACAGACCATATTTGTGGTGAAGCATCTTTATCAGTTATATGCATAAATTAACTGACTGTTTAACAAAATAAGATAAAATCTCATTAGGAATTCAATGACCTTTTACATAAACGAGAATAGTTTATTTACTTACTTACTTATTACTACTATACCTCCGTAAAATCAATACACATAATATTATGAAATAATAATGATTCAACGTGAGATGAAAAGGTTTGCTCTGCTGGGCTTTTTTTCAATCACTACCTTCTATATTTCTAAAACTGGCACTCTGCTGATTGGTAATTAAGTCACAATTTCAATTTATTCATTGAGAGTTTCGTTTGAAGTGTGTATGAGACGGATAGAGAGATGCATATGTGTACGAATTTCATCACATCAGTTTGTCAAACAGTTTCTTCGGATCTAATCCTAATCAGGCTGAATTAGCAACGGAAATTGACTGACTCAGTAGTGATTTAACCATCTACATTAGTCTTGTTTGACGAAATGGAGCTAAGAATTTCCAGCTGGTGATCTATCAACTGAGCTGTAATACCTACTTGGCTAAACAATACTATCTCAGATGGTCAAATCGGCAATCAGTCAGCCAATCTAAGCCAATTATCCACCTGTGCCAGGATTGAGTCAGAATTAGCTGACAAAACACCTAGTGTAATGATAATTGAATAGTTATGGATCTATGCTTCACATGGAAGTGCGACGAAACTCAGTAGGCATGAAGCCTAATTATCACTCTATTCATGTCATTGAAGAACCAAGCTGTAAGCCAATGGTTTAGAATGTTATCATGATGCAGGTTCTTATGCTAACTTCAGTCATCTTTCCTCTAAATTGCTAATCGTTTGCTTAATAAGTGGGTTCTGAGACAGTCAAGTCAATAAACTGTTGTCCGTGAATGAGTGGAGTGAACATTTGATCGTAAGGTTAACAAGAAATGATCAGTCTGATTAGGAAGTTTTGTGTTAATAGGAAAACGTTCCCACCACGGATTCACATTTGGAGGGGAAGGAAATGCCCATTCAGTACTATCCAGTTAATCGTAGTTCTTAAAATCATGTCGACACGTTATAGAAACTAATTTTAAATTAATCGGTCACTTATAAGCAGCTAGATAAAATAATAAGAGAATCTAATTTCCTTAAGTGGCTGACATCTATATTGAATTGCTGAAGTTTTAACCGGAGAAGCCATGACATGTGGGATTGTTCAAGTCAGAAACGATAAGGGATGTGCATAGGCAACAGCAAATAACACTTTTAATGCACTTTAGTTTGAATCAGTTTGAAAAATTTCGATAATTGTGTTCCCTATTAATGGGTTATTGGTAATGTGTTGACCATAAAACCTTATGGTATTGAATAAAATCGTGTTTATAGTAAGTAGTGAGCACTAATGCAGAGTCCTTATGTAGGAGGTAATGTCTACTCATTGTTTTGACTCAACCAGCAGTCGTCAGTTGCGGAAACTATCTTGAAATTCAAAAGTTTCTAGTAAACCATTTAATGCAGGAGAACAGTAATTCGTAGGAATTCACATGAGCAACATCTTAATGAAAATAGGATAGAGTCAGATGTAGTGAACGATAGAAGTGTAGTTCAGTGTTGGATCTGTAGTCTACGTCTGGATGTATCAGCAGCACACTCAAAAGCGACAAATACAACTATACCACAGTTAGCTTCATCCGTTGTCATTGTGATAGATTCTCTTATAAGGTGGTTCTGATGAAGTAAACTGACCTTAAAAATAACAACCTAATAGGACCTGGTTGTAGCCATCAGGTAATCGCTTTGACTGGATTTCCTGCCTTGCAGCTAAGAGGCGGTTATGGGATGCATAGTCTGGTGCAGACATAATCTTTTAAATTGGCAACAAACAATTATCAAACAAGGTACCCACTACTTCTTACAGTCTGCCGCACATCTCGAGCATCAGTTGGAATTGGATCACTAGTTACATATTCCCGCTGGCGATACACCACTGACTGAACTTTCTCTATCAGTGTCACTAAGCCCTTCTGAAGATTAAATTATTCAAACTGCAGTCAGCTCTATAAGTGCAAATAAACTAGGCTGTAAATTATGACTTGAGTTCAATCAGGTGAAATCACGTCGTGTGGTGCTCACCTTCTTATCGTCCACGTTTAAATGGGAATGAAACAGATGATCAAAATTTACCATCAAAATGGAAGCATCATGTGGAGTAGAAGTTAATTGACCAGGACGCTACCTGTATGCCAGTGTTGAGTGGAATTCTTCAGTTTGGCGGTGAATACTTTGATTACGCTCAATTTTATTCCAGAAATTGAAGGTGCTACACTTCTATCATATGACCGCTTATCTGCTGCAGATAACACCCTTGAAGAAGATTTGAATCTAGGTGCGTGCAGTACAGCTTTTTATGTTCATCACAATGTGGTGACCTCATTGGTTCATGATGTAACGCTTTATCGAAATTACTTGGCTGCTGAACAGGTTATCGATTTCCATCTGGACTACGAACATCTTCCTGATTAGAGCGAACTGCTCAAGCGTTACCAGAGAAGGTATTCCTTAAATTGGTTGATGAATTGAGTCATCCTCATATGAATGTAATCTAAACGAAGTTCAGCTGTGTAATTATATTTACTCATAGAACGTAATTACCAGGATTTTTGACTCTTGTAGATTATTTTACGCAGTTACTGTATCATCTTCCGGCAACAGTGTTCACTCAGATGGAGTAACGGTTCGTAACTAGTTGGTGTCGATTACTTTGGATGAACTGAGTAAATTTTACTGGTGTTGAGGCTTCTGTGAAAAGTCTAGTGGATGACAAATGTGTTGAATGCAGGGAGTTGTTAGTCACCGAATATGCATCTGTTTCTAACCCTGATAATAAGAAGAACAATGCTGGAGACTAACTTGATGCATCATTATGCAACCAGGAGCTTGAGTGCGATTGCATATTACACACCACAAGCCGGAAACACACGGTTTAAGAAGTAAATTTAAATGTTTTCTAACGTATAGAGATGAGTTATTTCTAATCCGGTATGGAAATAACATCAATATCTT